TACCCTTGCCTCCTTTCCTTTTATATACAATCTAAATCATAATTGTTGATCATTCAAATTTACATTCAAATAACATATAATAATTTATATGAAAATCTTATAAGTTTACCTCAAAGAAGTTTTTCTTCATTCACCCAAATGTGACCTCTCTTCTCCTTAGTCTCCTTTCTTCACTTTCCCTCCCAGTTACACCAACTTAGCCTGCATCAGTTTCCACCACTCTTCTGCACAACCAGCTTCAGCATTTTATTGAATTCCAACAACTAGATTTCAGAAATTTATTATCTGAAATTCTCTTTCAAAGCATCTCACAGCAGCAGCCTCAACAAGTGGCTCCCGCTACTGAGCTTGAAGCTGGCTTCCGATGTCCAAGGAGGGACGGGTGGGGAAAAAAAGCTAATGTCTCCACATAATAAATCTCACTATAATAACCCTTCTAATTCCACTAAACCTTCTCAGTCATTCTCAGCACTAGGATTTCCATCAGCTTTATGCATGTCAGTTTAAGTGGAATTGTTACAGTAACTGAGTGGAATTGCTACAGTAATTGAAGTACATACTATTAAATAATTCACTAATACTTAGCCTTTAATCTAGCTGTCATTTAAACCATAAACTACAACTAAATACAATCAATTAAACATTTAATTTCATAATTTATAAAAGAAAATGTTTGGAATTAAAGTAAAATATATATAAAAATAAGCTAACATTTAGAGGAAGTTGATGCTTACATTATTTTAAATATATTTGAGAGCCTTATATGGCCAATCCCGATATCGACCATGACTTTGTTTATGATGATCAAGGTAGGACGAACATTTTGCAATCTCCCTTCTTCGACCTAAACTTGGATGTCGACGATTCCCTGGAGAGCTACTTAAACCGCATTATCTTCACATTGGTGCCGTTCATTGAAGAACATCTACCAAGTGGTTCGTGGAGGATTGAGGGACGTCAACAAATCCAACCGTCGCCGGCTACCTCTCCATCGACAAAGTTCCTAGGCCCTTTCTTTCTAGTGGTGCTCTCAATTCTAGTGTGGAGAATCTTCTTCCGCTAACCCTAGAATAGTTGAGTAAGTCCTCAAGGTGAAAATCTCCATATTAAAATTCGGATTTGTGTTATAGGCTATTTCATTACGTTTGCCTTTGTATTTGATTAAGAGCGTCTTGGTTAATCTTCATGTATCTCTTTGCCTAAGCAAGTGGAAGACTGCGAATTTTAACATCTTACTTTGATTTAACGCATAATTTTATGATGGATAACTTTTATTAAAATTTCTTGTTAACCTCTTGTAAACTCCTTGCATGTATCACATTATATTTGGTATCAGAGCATGGTTAGCATAGGTTCTGCCTGCTAGAAATCATCCTAGGGAATTTTATCATCAATTTTATGTGTCATTGCATGCTCATCACCACTTAGAAAAATTTAAATCCTTTGTTAGTCTTGCTGTCCAGAAAATTCCAGCATCAATTAGTGGCCTTTAGGTGAGTCTAGGCAAGTGGTTAGGTGCTGTCCACACTCTAGAAACCTTCCAAAATACTTAGACAACTTAGGTCTTTGCTGTAGTTTGCTGTCTTGATCATTTCAACATCATTTTGAGGCATTAGGAGCATATTATCTTAGTGTCTAGGTGCTGTCCACTACCTTGTTACCTCCCCTAGCGTCCTCTAGCACCTACCCATCGATCTAGAACATATTCAGGCGACTTTAGACCTCATCGTGGGTCAACTTGGGACAGTTACTCAACAAATTAAGAACACCCAGACTGACTTAGCGGACTTTAGACGCCAAACGGGTGAGCGACTTGACAATATTGAGCGGTTAGGACACCCCACAATTTACACCCTGTCTAGACCGTATTCACCTTATGGTGATGAAACCCGGACTAATTATGGGTCATCTCGGGATCACTATCG